TGTATTTCTGCAGGTGTGTATATGCTCGTGTTTTTGTCACACTGTGGTGAACTGCTCTGGTGGGTCACCGTCCACCGTTTTGCACGATGCAGTGTGACAACTAGTGACTTCAGCGGTCCTCTTCATTTCATAGTATCTGAGTCACGTTTTTTTCTGATGCCAGAAACATTTCAGTGATGATGGCTGGTCAGACAGTCTCCTTTAAGGCATTGTATTACAGACATCGTACTAGCTTTCTGACTTGAATTTTTCTGCCTTACAAATACTTACGAACACAATGTGATTCTGCTGCATGGTAAAGGAAGGTATAAGGTGGAACTAGACGAAATGTCAGACAGATAATGGCCAATCAGTGGCGGACTTAGAACTACGTCCATCCCTTTTCACAGCAAAACACGTCTATTCCTGTAATATCGAGAGTACAACTACAGTCCACCGAACCTACAGTCGAATCAGGGGTTAAAGGTCAGCAGGTTTTTGAGGGGTTATCGGTGAAGTTTGCACATTTTTTCTGTGCACGATTGGTTTATATTAACCCTCTGTGGCTGAACGAGACTCTAGCTCTTGAATCACTGCTCATGTCTGTTGAGTTTATTTTTGTTGCTTTTTCTGTCCTTGATGTTCCGAGCCTTCGCTATTGCTAAAAAATAAACCATATTTTAAATCAACTAGAACAGGATGTGATAGCTGCACACTTTACAAAATATCACTAAAGATGAATCGTCATATTCGTTTCTGTTTGTCCAAATTAATCTTTTTGGTTGTCTGTCTGAAGTTGCCATAACCCATGAGTGCGGTTACACTCGTATGTATAAGTAAATCATTCCCATTTTGGTGAGGCTTGTTGGAATGATTGATGTTTGTTACTTTTACTTGACGTAAACCATCTGTTACTTATTGCGACCGCGGTTTTCGTGGATTGCAGTGCACACTGTTGCGTATTTGCCTGTGCCATGGATTTAGCTTATCTTAAAGATTTAGTGCAAGGTTTAAACTGGAAACACTGTGTATGCGCCGTGTCTTATGCAGCTGTATGTGAACCGAAAACTGAGGGAAAGTAATTCAAGCTTTAGTTTAATTAACTACCAGTCCATTGGAGTGGCTCTTTTGAGTTTTGTTGTCCGTGCAGTTAGTATATACATTTATGTAAAAATGGTCTTTGCTCAGCTCCGTCTGTAAAAGACCCCCGCTGGACTATTGTGGTGAGACGTAACGTGACTTGAATATGAACGATCTAAGAACCTGAGCCATTTCTATACCGTTATACAGTCCTTATGGTGACTTTTCCCCTATATGCTTGACCAAAGATTACATCGGTTTGGTAGATAACTGGTTTGTTTGCTTTCCACACAGATAGCTGTAGTGCCATCGATTTCCCAGTTACAAGAGCATTAGAACCTCATTGTCTGCAAGGGCAAATAAGAAAAAAACAAATTGAAAAAAAAGTCAAAATATTTTCCAGAGCACACTATGCGAGTTTGTATTGTTTAATAATACAGCAAAGAACTTAAGATGTAAAGTGTTGCCACAGAGTGCAAAGAAACTCTCAGTATTATGTATTGACTCAGCAATACAACGATATGTAAAAAGCAAATTTTATAATGAAGTAAATAGGTTTTGTAATCAGACAGATGAATATTTATGTATTCATATGTTCAATGGTATGTACATTATTTGAATTTGTAAGGTCTTTTCTTTGGTCTTGTTCATTTCTATATATTTTTAATTATTTTGTAATATTACAAGTGGGGTCATCAAACACATTTCTGTTTTCTTCTTCATTTTATTTTTTTGTTTTCCTTCAGATTTTTGAAGTAGTACCAAGTGAATATTGTCCTAATCTTCAAACTGTTAACTTCGATGGAGAAAGGCTTGTGTTGTATCTGTGGGGTGTGAGCCTTTGTGTGTAATGATCTCCTGTTATACAACTCTCAAGCTGTCAACACACTGTTTGTCCAACTGGAATAACAAAGGGAAGGCTGAGAGTCTTTGAGTTCCACTTAGGAAGATTGCCATAGTGCCATGTTGGGTACAAGGGAAATTTCCACTTGCAATCTAACCTTTTTTTCTTAGATGAATGATGCCCTCCTTCAGGGATGAGCTTTTAGTGCCATACCATCCTTGTTTATTTCACTTGCTTTAGTAGCAAAATGTTTAAGCAGTGTAGCAGTTGTTTTTTTGGGCTGGTAAATTCCTCACGACATCTTTGAGGGTGATTTTAAAAACACTGAACACTTCACCGTGTCCTCCTGAGATGCATTGCGTTTTTTGCTGCTGAGAATGACAATCCTTATGTCATGTTAGGTGCAAAATCATTTCAAGTAATATTCATTTTTAGTTTTGATAATTTACACTGCACAAATCTTTATACAATGCTTTTGTAAACATTTTTAGTGTTATTTGCAAAAAAATTAATAAAATTGTTGAAATTCTTGCAAATTCTTTTGTCATGTTTCTGCTTTCTTGTCTGGCACATTTACAGACAGAGGGACTCAAGAAATACAAAAGTGGATTTTTTTTTTTTTTACACCTATATAATTTATTTTCTGAATAAGTTTCTAATAAAGGCTGCATTTATTCAATCAAAATACATTAAAATTGTAATGTAAAATTATTTAATACTGTACAATTAAATTTCAATTTTCATATACTGTACATATTTCCAGCAGCTATTACTCCTTTCTTCAGTGGTGCATAATCCTTAAATCATTCTAATATGTTGATTTGCTGCTCACAAATACTTATTACAATGTTAAAAATAGTTGCTTAATACATTTGGGGAAATGGTGATTTATTTTTTTATGATTATTTTATGAATAGAAAGTTCAATAGAACAGCATTTATTTGAAATAGAAGTCTTCTGTAACATAAATATGAAAAACTCAATCAATCAATCAATTACACATTAAAAAATCTGTGTAAATAACACAGAATAGTTGTTATATAGAAAAATATGTGTAAATATTCTTTATTAATGTTTCCCCCAAAACAAAAGCATTTAACAGTAAAGTTTTCATACAGGAATTTGGGAACATCAATGGTCTGGGGTGAAGATACACTACAGTAAGAGATATAATATACACACACACACACACACACAGACAGAGAAAAGGGGTTTAAATTTGTACCTTTTGGGGTACAACAGCTTGTCCCTGGAGCAGTACCCTTAAAAGGACATATTTGTACCTTTTTTACCCCTAATAGGTACATATTAGTACCTTAGAGTAGTAATACCCTTATACCTTAATACCCTTAAGGTACTAATATGTACCTATTAGGGGTAAAAAAAAAAAAAGGTACAAATATGTCCTTTTAAGGGTACTGCTCCAGGGACAAGCTGTTGTACCCCAAAAGGTACAATTCTGGCCCCTTATTTTTCTGGGTGTATATATATATATTTTGAGTTTAACATAATATATATATATATACACACACACACACACACACACACATACATTCAGTGTTAAATGCTTTTGTTTTGGGGAAAACATTAATAAATATATTTA